CCTCTCTCTCTCGGCCTAACACGGCCGACTACCCACTGCCCCACGAGACGCCCAACACGGGCTTGCTGCACCCCGCGTAGTTAACCTTTCAAGGGTTGTCCACCCCGCACAACATGACCTACTCGACCACCATCGTGGTTGCCCCAAAAAAAAAACTGTTTACTGGTTGCCGAGTTCACGAGGTGAATTGGCTCGTTTCACAACGTCGTTGCCAAGCGACGAAAACCCAACCCCGGTGGCAAACACCGAGGGGCGGGGGGTGTACTCATAGTCGTGCATGCCGTAGTCGTTAGACCATTGACCTCGCATCCCTCCAAAGCCGGGACGGGGCACGCCGGGTTCTCACCGGACCAGGCTCTCACATCATCAAGCGCGAAGCGCCGTGAGATATTCGGCGAGTCGCATGAAGGGTGCGCTGCATCCTGCTAAGGGTGGTCGGCATCTTGTGCTTAACTTCCTTGCGTACGGATGACAGCTGCGTATGACTTAATTTGTTTCCTGGTGCTTTCACTTCCTGAGACAGTTGCAAGCACTGTGTAACTGCATCGAGGATGCTTGGCCATTTTAACACAACGTGGTGTGATCATCCTCCTTGCGCGGAGTGAGGGTTCTCCATCCCGCACAACATGATTTCCTGGACCACCATTATGGTTACCGCCAAAAAAGAAAAAGAAGCAAAAAGAAAAACAGGCAGCCACTCGTGGCTTGAGCGAGCAGCAGCATCGGCAGCAGCACCGGCGGCGAGAGGGGGGACCACCGGTAGTCGTGCTTTCCCCGCGACGCCGGCGGGGGAGACGGCCAGGGCGCAGGCACTCGCGGCGATAGCGGCAGCATCGGTAGTAGTACCGGCGGCGAGAGGAGGGACCACCGGTAGCATATTTTTCCTTCGACGTCAAAGTTCGATGTAGAGTGTGTGGCGGCGTAGGTGCACACCGCCGAACCATGTACGGCAGCAAGACCAGGGGCAGCGATCCCTCGCGGCAATTGACATGCGGTTCGGAAACCCTGCTGGACATGCGGTCCGGCAACACTGCTCAAAGTAACATAGACTAGTTACACAAGAGACAAAAATGCCCAGAGAGATAAAACTCCGCGAACATGCGTCGTTCTCGCGAACGAGAGCAACGAATGTTGCTGTCTGTGCGCGTTAGGGAATAAGTTACGCGTACGGGTGTGTGTCCAACACTAACAGACAGAGAGACAGTGCTCCGCCGAGATGCCAGCTGTGGTGCATCACACCAGCATTCTGAGGGATAGCATCAAGGTGGTGGGACAACATCAAGGTGGTGGGACGCCCCGCCCACTCCCCCCAAAAAAAGTGATGTACCGGACCAACCAACCGGACGGACCCTCTTTGTTTGTTCAACCGCCCCGTTCCGTTGGCAACCCAGATGAGGCCGACTCGTGTCGGCCACAGGAGGCGGAAGCTCCTCAAACTCCGGGAGGGGTCATGATCTGCGATTCCCCACCGAACTTTACTCGACACTCCGCCAGATTGCAGTGTAGCTCGAGATCAGCACTTCGGGCCGGGTCGGGCAAGGTATGGGGGAGTCGAATGAAACTTGCACGGATGTTGGTCTGATAAGCTGAAGCTAGCTTCAGAACTACTTCCTACGTAGCTCCGGCTTCTAGACTATTTTCGGCTGCTGTTTCGGCCTCGGCCTTTTCTTGGCTTCGCCCCCCATTTCAACTTCGGTGGTTCGTTCGGTTCGGCTTCGGCCCTCCCTGGTAATTCGGACTCTCTTGCACCTCTCCTGCACCCAATGCCGCAGTTTCGGGTCTTGTGCGTTATGTTTTCGAACCTTTCCCCCGTCTTCGGCGCTGGTACCAGATGTGCCGGGCGTTTTTTCGTGTCGTATGCATGTATTGTCTTCGAACCTGCTACCCCTGGTGCTTCGTTAGCTACTGCTGTTGCGCCCCTTTCGTTGTCCATGATCGTGCCCTGCCACGCTCCTCAAACGTTGCATATGCTCCTAAAGCCACGGTCGATAATAGCGATGATGCTGCTTGTGTTGCCCATGTTGTTAACGTACAACGAGAGTACATCACCCTTAACTTGAAAAATCGAGAAGTTTCGCTGCATGAAAGCATGTGCCATGCCCTTTCCTGCAACCCTGGCGACTGCTGGCGGCTACAAACACATTTTTTTCGCACGCCACGAACGCCCTTCTCCGACATTTTGCTGTTGTGTGATGACCAAATGGCTCTCTAGGTAACGATTTCGTGCGTGGTTGGGAACGCCCGAAAAGGAACAAAAATCTTGAGTGCGATCACCCGTGACAAGCCCTCTACCGCCGATCTCGTCCTCTCCAATCTAATCAGCAAGTGAAACGGAGCCCGGACGGCGGAGCGACCTGGGACGAGAGCCTTTCAGCTGCTGTTGCGTCACCTCTCGAAGAAATTTCACGTCGGAGAACGCCAAGAGTCATTGTTGCGGGTGCAACAATTTGGCGTAGGTGTTGATACTTGTTTCGCGCACTGCCTTCGTGCGTTCTGTTGGTTAATGTAGTTTCGTCTGTGACTCGATATGGACGTCCGTTCGCTCCTGTTATAGCGTAGGTTGTGCGGCATTCGACCTGCAAGCAGTTGTTACCGAGTCTGCCTCCACTTTTGTGCTGTACTCAGGTGTCTTGGCCACAGCGGTCACACCTTTTTGATCTATTGCGGCGAGGTGGGAAACGTCCACGCCCCTAGCGGCAAAAAAAAAACGCTGTCGGAGTTCATGTAAATCGTATGCTCCGACACGTGGCTCTTCGCAGCCTCGTCGAATCACCGCGCTCCAACGCCTTCGGGCCGGTGGTATCAGGTTCTCCATCACGAACCCGGTAGTTTTGCCATTGGAATCTCAAGATGCGGACCCTATCACTCGTAGGTACAATTCTTGGCCTGCCTCGCAAGCCGATTGGTCTGATGTATGCATATACGCGCTCAGTATACTTTTCGCAGTTCATTTTCCGGAACACAGACGACCCTTTTTTATGGACTCCTTTGTTGTTGACACGAGAGGCTTGTTCATGAGTCTGCGAACATTGCTGTTGGATACATGTGCTGGATGATTTTGTGTCACGCAGACTGGTAAGATAACCGTTTGATAAGGGACACCGCGATGATTCACGGGGCCCTTCCTTGCTGTGGGAGCCGCTCTTTGAGCACTCCCTCTTTCGTCCGTGTGAAGGACGGTCGTCTACCTCCCGTGAAGTTAATACATCACCAAAACAGTCTCACCCGATAAATAAGTGGCGTAGGCCGCAAACACTCTAGAGTTTGTCCCTCGAGGGAAGCCACATCGGGATGAGCTCTGCTGGAGACGAAGAGCGCGCTGCTGCGAGCGGAGAACAGATCCACCCGCCAGTGCAGGAGGGCCGCGACGCGGAGCTTGCAAGTTTGCAACGGCAGATTTCGCAATTGGCGGCCCTGGTGGAGGAGTCGGTGAAGAAGAAGGAGCCTGGTAGCGTCGTGGCGGATGCAGCCAGTAGTGGCGGCTGGGTTGCCGCCACCGGAGGCCAAGATCAGCCCCTGCTGTCGCACGGCGGAGGCGGGGGATTTCTCTAGCAGCAAGCGAGAGATAGTGGGCAAGGACCACGGCAGCTGCTGGAAGGCGGCTGGGCCAGCAGATCGGGAGCGAACCCTGTTGGACCAGCCGGAGTGGGCCCGGGCATAGGACCGGACTACGGGGAAGCGAGGGGGTTAAACCCCCCAGGTGAGATACCCGTGATTCGAGGGAATGGAGAATACCTCGACGGCTACAGCAGTAGCCACATGAAGAGGGTAACGGTCAATGCTCCGCTCCTAGACGAAAAAAGCCGTAGCCACGGATTTGACTCGTGGCGAAAATCATTCATCCAAGCTGCGAAGACCATCGACTTGGACGGGCTGTTTATAGGAGATGCAGAGAGCAGTATCCCCGTGGGCGACCCAAACTTGCCCACTTCCGAACTGCTCCGTAGGGGGTACACGAGAGCAGAAGTCCAACGGGGGCTTCAGGCGTTCCACTTTATCACTACTGCTGTGGTAAAAGAAGCTGACAAAGCAATTATCAGCAACTGTACGTCAGCGAAAGAGGTCCTTGCGGAATTGGAAAAGGTCTACGATCCGGAGTCACAGGGGTCAAAACAGGCCTTGATGCGGAAGATGTTCGACTTTGCAATCCCCA